CGTAACCTAGATGCGCAAGCATGCCATGCGTGGGCGTGTTTATCCTACTTGAACGCAGAAACGTTCCTAAGTAAATACTGCAGTTAGATTATGTAAAACGAGCTCTCGCTCCTTTTGCCCTACTTTTCATTTCATATTCTTGGCCTTGGTATCAACGTCAGCTAGGGCTATGCAAACGGGATGCAACTATGTGGTTATCTTATGGTTTTGGTTTTAAATTAATTGCCTCGCGGTAACAGCAAAGCTATCTTGACCAGGGTTTTATCAATGTTGTTTTATAGTAGCCCTGTATACCTTTTATAGCTACCATTAAAGAACAATGCAATGATCTTTACATATGGCTATATGTTGAATTCTTTACTATGTTGAACAATGTCTGATTACCAAAAAAAAACTGTACCTCAAACTAAACTACATTCCATGTAAAATCTCGAAACAGGGAATTTTCGCCGCAAAAATAGCGCAAAATCGAAATGTTGTTCTTCACACACTCAAAAAAAAAATTACATTATTGAACCCATGTTAACAACATCCCACCAACCTGCACCATTAACTTTGTAGCTACGAACGCGCTCGCTCGCGTTCGCCCATAAATGTCACACTACACACAGACCCGCTCGAAGTTCCCCCCGGACGAAAGGTCCAGCTCCCTAGGGCTGGAAGACTTTATCGTGGTATGCTAATTTGAAATTTTAATGCCGAACCATGACAAATGGCGTATCATTTGTTTTGGGCCCACAAAAAAAAACTAAAACTATCCACGTTAGCTCGCTGACTGCCCTCAAAGGGGGTGGAGGTGGGGGCACTGCATTATGCAAATTTTGCTCATTCACTTTTCATCCTTCTTGCTAGAGCATCTCGCATTGTAAAGGTACCGGAGTTAACGACATACCACTCGATGGCAATGTTTGTTGCCAGTCTTTTGCTATCAATCTTTTTTTTTTGCTTTCGGGCTCTTGCGAACGTCTTTTTTGTCCCGCGGAATGACATTTCGTCGAAAGTAATTGCTTTTTGTCCTAGTCGTCGTCGTCGTCGTCGTCGTTGCTGTCGAACCAAACAACAATTTGATGTTGTAACTGTATGAGGTTGAAGCAGAGCTTTTTTCTAGTTTTCCTAGAATGTGCCTGCATAGCCTAAGGTCAGGAATTTGCGAGGAAAAAGCTGGCTAGCAATTGTGCAAGGGATTGGCTGAGACATGTTGGGACAGGGGAGATGTATAGCAAATGGTGTTAAAGGGAGAGTTTTTTTTTGTAAAGTGCATTTCGGTACGGACGCTGCATATCATGCGGGAGGTACCAGGTTTGATTCCCTGTCTGAAAATGATAATTTTTGGGTTGAAAAATATGTCTATTTCCCTGGGAATTCAGTGATGGAAGCGTTATATTGTGGAATACCTTTATATCTGATAAATTGTTCACCAAACTACAATTACCAATCCGCATAGTTGGCTTTTTGATTGTAAATCGCTATGAGAATTTCTAATTTTGTCCAACTAGACCGCTGATCCGGCCCACTGGGTCAACACATTCACCTTTTATAGCTAACCCAATTTGAATCAGGTGTCTGAAGCACAAACCCATCACCATCAAGAATCGCAAAAAATCTCCAATTTCTATTCGCCAACGACGACGACAACGACGACGACGCCAAAGCAGTAGAAAACACTATAAATTTGCCTCTTAACAAGCGTAAAAATTTACGACCATCCAAACAGGTTGACCTTTCCGTTTAGATCTAATTGGTTTCCGTTTAAAATCGACGAAGCCCACCGCTCATTCATCTGATTTACTATTTCACCGAGTCTAGGCGGCCAGGTTCACGCGTGCCCGTCGTTAACCCAAAATACCGATCATTTGCGCTCGCAGACCAATTTGTCTTCTCCGGGGCAAAGCTTTCTTCCGTCATCCGCCTCAAATCGGGGTGGCATTTCTGTCCTGCGGCAGGTTTCTTTCTCCGACCCTGCGGTTTTTCGCAGAATTTTGTCCAACCTTTTTGTCGCAGTCAGTCGAGCAAAACCCCGAAAACTGCGTCGCACCAAGATTGATCGTAATCGAGGCCCCTTCGGATGCAGCCAGGCGTTAACAACCGAACATGAAGACGATGGACATGCATTTTGACAATGTGGGAGAGTGCATCAGCGGGACTCTCGCTCTTCTGGTTAATTGATGAAAACAGGACCAAACACACGGAGCCGAATATTGGATTACATGCAGAGCAGTGCAGCCCGGAGCTGCCCGGTTCGATTACCGGAGGTGCACTGTCTGGGTGCAACGATTCGAGTTCATCGAGTGCATCGGATGACGGGCCGACCCTGCTTGCATGCCTGCCTCGTTCGCTCGCTGGGGTGTCACTGAAGCGTGGTGTGAAAATGCTTGTTTTCGAGGCTTTTTGTCCGGGGGTACTGGCGGCAGCAGGGGGGCTCGAATTCGACACAATGTATGGCATTCCGGGAACGAACCGGGACTTCACCAAACTGAAGGCTGATATTTGCTTTTCGGTGTGTGGTTTTCAGTTTTCATGTACACGGTTGCGCTGCCAAACGGGATCTGACATCTGGGGCTTCCTTCGTTACGTGTGGCCATGGCTGGTGCAACTGACCTTTCGGTGAATTTTCTGATATCCCATCGAATGTTCCAGAACAATCCTACCAATAACTCACGGAAACGTCGTAGCTACGTGAAGCAGCTCCACCACTTCACCAAACCAAGCGACACGTAAATCACCACCATAATTGACCCTACTCAATACTATGGCACTCGATCGACGACGACGACGACACCCGTTGACACAACACTCGGCGACACGACAAATTGCCTCCTTCAGTTTCGATCATCACAAACCGCCCACAACACGCTCACACGCATCATTATTGGCAGCACATGGCTCATAATCTCACCAAATGAGCCGCAGATTCAGATCTGTCTTGTAGATTTACGCCGTGCAGCCATGCCCCATCCGAGTCTTCTAAGAGGCTCCCATCGGTCGTCGGCGCACCACACACTGAGATCCCAGCTCGTTGATAAATACCCATTGGTAGGTATATATTTGCCTACCTCTTTGCCAGGTCCTAGGCGGTTGCATCTTCGGCAGAAGCGGCTAAATTAATGTATATTTTATTCAGCGTAAATTCGTGTCATATAGCATAAAGGTAGCGCTTTTCATAGGGAGCGACAAATTGCCAGCTGCTGCAAACGACGGATCTCCAAAGGGGAAAGGGGCCTGATCTGTTAGGATTAGACAGTCGACTGCTGCTTCGGGGGGAAAGGTGAATATAGTAGGAAGCGTTCGATTGTAAAACGAGTGTTTGGCTGATGAGGAGCACTAAATTACGGCTAGCTGGATGGGAGCTGTAAAATTTTTATGAGAAGATAATTTACACGTTATTTGTCAGGTGTCGGCCATTTGTCTTGTTCGAACATGCCCGAGAGGAGTATTTTGTTTTCCCTAGAAATGGAACAGTGAGGATGCATATTGTAACAGAGAGAAGTGTTAACAGTTTTAGAAGGCAATCTTATAGCGAATTTGTTCATCCAGTTCCAACCCGTGCGAAATCGAGCTTACTGCCAGTGTGATCCTCAACCTGAGCCAGGATACAAACACAAACGTTCACACTGACGTTTGCAAGACAACATGCAAACCCAATATTGATACCCGATTTAGGTTGGAACTGAATCACAAACAAATGCGCTATTAGTGATTGGCAGATGAGCTTTAGATTTTGCAAATAAGATCTTTATATAGCTGGTGGTGGTGTTACTGTCGAAACAAAATGTGCTTCGGAAACTTACCCATCAAAGGTCTAAATTCTTCATAATTGGTGATTTAATTGCAAAACACCGCTCATAGAATAAATTTGGAAGGAATCCTTCGCGGTCCCTATTCAAAAAGTTGCTGGAACGATTAAAGTCGACGAGTTTCGTCCCATCTAGACGTTGCACACATCAGAAAAAAAATGTAGAATTTGTTGTTAAAGGCCAGCTGTTGGAGTATTTAAATAGTAATAGTTTGTTGATACCAGAACAATCGGGATATCGGGAAGGTCATTCATGTGAAACCGCGTTGAATTTGGTATAATCGAAGTGGAAAAATAACTTGGAGTGTAAAGATACGATTGTTGCTATTTGTTGAGACTAAGGGTTATAACACTCACTGGAGGTTCCAAATTTTATTCTGCGACCTGTTGCGGTGGAAGAATTGGCAAAGACTGACAATGACAACTTAATGTATAAACCTCTGCGGCAGCAGACACGAGAAGAATCCTCACAAACAAAATTAAGTGTGTGTTGGTGGTGGTGTCTCGTATTAAGGTTCAATTTACTTTGATGCATTTTCGAAAAAATCAAAAGCATTTTTTTTCGACGCATTATTTCAGATTGCTAAAAACTCGCGTCATTTTGTGTAGAATAGCAAAAGGAATCGAATAGTGCGAGCATTTTGCAATCTGAACTAATGCGTCGAAAAAAACTGCTCTTGAATTTTTCGAAAAAGCATCAAAGTAAATTGAACCTTAAGAGGATTCGGCAGCACTGGTCGAAGGCGAAGTTACACCACATCGCAAAGAATAACGTTAACTACAACATCGCCACCACCTTAAAAACATGATTTTCAAAATTCAAATGCAAATGGCAAATTAACAAACAAATTAAAATTGGAATGGTTCCATTCAAATTTTCCTCTTGGAGTACTTCAGGTTGGTTCTCATCCGATGGCAGTTGACTGTACTCTGTCTCCTCCATCGGTAGCATACACATTCTGGTGATTGGTTGTACGATGACTCCTCGGTTTGTGCGCAATGAGACGACTCGAACTAGGTTGTCATTGCCAGGATAAACGGCAATTATTCGGGCCAAGGGCCATTTCACTGGTATCTGATACTCGTCGGTTAGCACGACTAGTCTCCCCGGCTGGATGTCTGAATTGGGATGACAGACTTTCGTGTCGCGTTGCAGCTCCAGCAGGTATTCCGTCCTCCAATGGTGCCAAAACTGCTGGTAGATACCCTAAAGCTGGTGGTAGTGACCGAGGTGATTCAGCGGCGTTCGATGCAGGTCGTGTTCGGGGAGCGAGTGCATTGAGCCACCGATCAGGAAATGCGCCGGAGTGAGCGCAGCGATGTCATTCGGTTCCTCACTTAATGGTACGATGGGACGCAAATTCATGCTCGCTTCGATTTGCGTCAACACGGTACTGAGGTCCTCGAAGGATAGCTTGGAATTGCCGAGTTGTCGCTTGGCCACTTTCACTGCTGCCTCCCACAATCCTCCGAAATGCGGTGCCTTCGGTGGACTGAAGTGCCAGGTGATCCGCTCACAAGTTCGGTCCGATGTGATCTGATGCCTTCGCGTTTCCTCTTGCAGCATTCGGTAGACCTCATCCAGTTCATTCGAAGCTCCTTCAAATTCTTTCCGTTGTCCGAATACAGATCGGTGGGAAGTCCACGACGGGCGATGAAGCGTCGAAGTGCAGACAGGAATGCTGGAGTCGAGAGGTCACTCACCAACTCGATGTGTACGGCCTTGGTGCAGAAACAGACGAAAATGCACACGTAAGCCTTCGTTGCAGCAACTCGCTTGTGTACTGGTTTGACGTAGACCGGTCCAGCATAGTCCACTCCAGAAACAGCAAACGGTCGACCAAGCGTGATTCGGTGTAGAGGAAGTTGACCGATCTGTTGGTTCGCCGGAACGGGGTTGACTCGAGCGCATCTATAGCACGTACGAATGACACTACGGACGAGTCGTCGATCGTGGATTGGCCAATACTTCTCTCTCATGGCCGCGAGAGTAAGGCGGCCGCCACCGTAGATGAGCGATTAGTGGTAGGATTTGGCAATTAGGCGGGATAGAGGATGGTTGCTTGTTTGGATAGGAAAGACTGGTCTTAAAAGCTTAGTCTCTCCCCTACCCGAATGGTTCCATTAGGGTCTAGAAATGGTGCCACAGACGAGTTGACGATCGCCTTCCGACAGCTTTGCTGTTTTGCAGGTCTCGGATCTCCTCATGGAAGGCATTTGCTTGAGCCAGTTGAATCAGTGTTCGTTCGGCGACGTTCAGCTGTTCGACAGTTAGGGATATACTGGGAAGCGAACCAGTAAGTGGAAATGGTTGCGTACGGGCTTTACTACGAAGATTGGCGATGAACCAAAGGATGTAGCCGGTTACGCGAAGTAGGCGGTCGTATGAGGAAAACCTGGCGATGATTGGGTTGACAACGCTGGATACTTCATGGATCCTTGTTACCGCAGTGATCAGCTTACGTCGTTCCTTTCCGGCCTCCGGATACTCAGGGAGCTTCGTGACAGGCCATTCCTTTTCTGGTTGTGACAGCCATTCGGGACCCCTCTTTCACAATTCGCTGGCCAGAAAGTCGTCAACGTGCATGCCGCGGGATACAAGGTCCGCAGGATTGTCCTTACCGGCGATGTGATTCCAGAACGCACTATTCGTCGAACTTTGTATTTCCGAAACTCGGTTATCTACAAAGGTTTTCCAAGTGTTGGAGAGTGCTCGTAGCCACTGCAGGGTAACTGTTGAGTCCGACCAAAATAGTGAACTGGTGATGGAAATCTGGAGCGCCTCAACGATCCGAGAATGGAGTTTGGCTGCCACGTCCGCAGCGCACAGTTCCAAGCGCGGCAGCGAGATCTTCTTCAGCGGTGCGACTCGTGATTTACAAGCAAGGAGTTCCACGCGAATCTTTCCAGTAGAATCCACACACCTAGCATACGTAAACGCTCCATAAGCTGATTCCGATGCATCAGAGAACGTATGGAGCAAAGCGTATCTGCTGACACGGAAATATGCAACTTTCGGAATCTGTCCTGCAAACTCTTCCCACGAACTCGCAATATACGGAACTTCGTCGTCCCAACCACACGGAAGCAACCACAACCGTTGCATCAGCATCTTGCCCCTTATGATAATCGGCTATATCAACCCCAAAGGATCAAACAGTTGTGAGATTGCGGAAAGAATGGAGCGTTTAGTCGGAGCCCCCTTGTGCTGATGGATCTTAAGTCAAAATGGAGATTGTCAGATTCGGGTTCCCAGGAAGTGCCGAGAGCTTTCACTGTTTCATTTACTTCGAACTTGATCGACGACTGCGTGCCAATTTCGTCGGATGAGAGACCTGAGAGGACCGATAACTGGTTGGATGTCCACTTCCGAAGTTCGAAGCCGCCTTTCTTCAGAAGTTCACTCAGTTCCGTCCTCAATTGTACAGCGTCTTCGATGGTTTGGGCTCCACCAATAAAGTCATCAACGTAGAAGTTTTTTACGAGGTTTGGTCCAGCCAGTGAATATGTGCTGCCCTCATCAATAGCCAGCTGCTGCAGCGTGCGTGTAGCAAGGAAAAAGGATGGACTCAAGCCATATGTCACCGTCATCAACTCGAAAATTTCGATTGGATCTGACTGGCTGAACCTCCACAAGATCCTCTGGAAGAGTGTATCGTCCGGATGGAGTAGGACTTGTCGGTACATTTTGGCAATGTCGCTGACCAGTGCGACAAGAAACGTCCGGAACCGAAGAATGATTGACAGGAGATCGTCCTGTACCACGGGGCCTACTAACAGAGCTTCGTTTAGGGAAAAGCCTGTAGAGGTTTTGGACGACGCATCGAAGACTACACGTACCTTTGTCGTCGTGCTGGCTTCCTTCACCACCGGGTGATGCGGGAGATAGTATCCTTTAGACTGGTTCTTCCTGCTGTCTTGAACACGACGCATATGACCAAGGGAGAGATATTCCGCCATAAACTTGTGATATTCTTCCTTCAGTTCAGGATTACGCTCGAGTCTTCGTTCGAGTAAATTGAATCGGTTGAGTGCCATTGACTTGGAGTAGCCGATCAGCTCGTCAGAGTTGGATCGACGAGGCAGGTGTACCATGTATCGCCCCTCTGGATCTCTCGAAGTGGTAGAAGAAAACAGTTCTTCGCACTGCTTCTCCTCTAATGAATAATCGGACTGGACCGGCAACTCTTCAACCTTCCAAAATCGCTCGATGCTCTCTTCCAGATTGAACAGGGATACCGCTACAATGGAGCGTGGAAGATCCTGACTTATAGTAGGTACTTTGCTTCCTGAGCCAGACACTAACCACCCGAAAACGCTGTCGATCAGCGTGGGAAGCGATTCAGGCAAGTTGATCCTGTTCGCCGATTGGAAGAATGAGAAGAAATGTTCAATCCACTGAATCATGTCTATTGGCACACGCTTATGGAACTGGGGATCAGCCAGGAAGAGCTTCGGTGGAAGGTTCCAATGATCTACTGGAACATTGTGGACGGGTATCTCAGGAGTGACCTTCGGAAGAATCAGGAAATCGGCATCCACGGAAAAGTTCTCCTTCCTGGACCGGATCTGAACGTGAACGTACTCCCTCACGTTCTGTGTTTGTGGACCAATTCCCTGGACAAGAACTTTCGTCTTGCTTCGCTTCAGCCTTGGTAATTGAGCCATCTTCTCGGTTATCAGGTAGGGTTGGGATTCACAATCCAACAGAGCACGTGCCAAGTGCTCCTTGCCATAGCGATCAACGACCACAACGATTGCTGTTAGCAGGAAAACGTTTATCTCAATCTCTTGAGGCTGTAGACTGCAGTTGGTCTCCGTTGGTTGGGTGGATGCGGCTGCCGATAGAACGGACGGTGTTGACTCGTCACTCGCTGAGGCCAGATTTACGTTGGCAGACGCCTGCGTCTCATTACTTGATCCGGAGGTTATTGGATTGTCTCCGAATCCGGAATGGAGTAGAGAATGATGACGCCTCTTGCAAAACCTGCACATGTATCTCGACGGACAGTTCCTCGAGAAATGATCAGACCGGAAACAGTTCAAGCAAAGCCGATTCACGTTGACCAGGGTCAGCCGGTCAGCTGCACTCATTTTCTCGAACTTCATGCACTTCACCAACGGATGGCGCTGTTCACAAACATAACACTTGATGGGAGGACTATCGAGACCGCTGCATGGGACGAAAATTCCATGTTGGAGGTTTTTCGAGTGGAAGAAACATGAGAGGTGACGTACTGTGGCGGCGGTTGAGCGTGATAGACCGAAACGGACTCCCGTACACGGATGCGCCGATGCAGGAACTCAATGAGAGCATCGTAGGTTCGGTTCTCGGTCGTTGATGCATGATCTTCCCACGCCTTGAGAGAATCGTCCGGGTGAGACCAAGGTAGACTACTTCCCTCGAACATTCAATGGGAGTGCTATCAAGATGGATCTGGACGTTAGCAGACGGAACAAGCCGAGGTGAATTCGAGTGTGGAAACAGAATGGTTTGTGTTTTAGCTGCATTGATACAAATCTTCGAGCTTTTGAAATAGTCGGACAGAACATCTAGGCCTGATTGTAGTTCACTCGCCGGAGCACGGATCACTCGCAGTGTTGGGAAAATATCAAAAAATCAAATCTCACCAACGCCCAAGATCACGCTTGATTTTCGTAGACAAAAATCAACAAGCAAACAACTGCGGTTGATTTTGCAAGCTGTGATATCGCAGCTCGGAATATCAAGCTAACAAAACTCATCAACTGCAAATCTCACCAAACTGTGGTGAGATTGAGTTTAATGGTTTTTGCTTTACACCCGAATGCAAGCGAAACTTCCATAATGGCTTGCAGCAGACACTTCGCGTCTGCCATCGGTGAAGTTAAAAAAAGAGATAGCAAACTATGCTTTCTGTTTCTAAGAAAACAATGTGCAATGGAATCATTTTTGTGTCGAGTCAACTCTCAGCTTGATTTTTGCACGTTGTGAATAGTCTCGCCATATCAAAGGAGCTTGTAAAATCAATATCAAGCATGATATTTTGTTCCAATATCATGCGTGATATTGCGAGTGCATGAGAGCGGAATAATATCAATTGATTTCTGATTTTGCCAACACTGATCACTCGACCCTTATAAAGGGTGATACGGTCAAAATTTGGTCAAGGGAAAACGCGTGTAAATCGGTGAAATCGTTTATTTAAAAAATCAAATTAAATTTCTTTTTCAAGTTCAATTAGTATAAAATTCAGGAAAAATATTCAGTTAGGCTTCCGCTTTTCCAAATCCGAATTGCCGGGCCTTACGCTTGACCCCTGCCATCAGATTTTGTACAGCCACCTTGTCCACCTTCTTCGCCGCAGAAAACCAGTTTGCCTTGAACTGCTGCTCGCCCTTAGCAGTTTTTTTGGTCTTCTTTAGGTTCCGCTTGACAATAGCCCAGTATTTCTCAATTGGGCGGAGCTCTGGCGTGTTGGGAGGGTTCTTGTCCTTGGGAACCACCTGCACGTTGTTGGCGGCGTACCACTCCATGGCCTTTTTACCGTAATGGCAAGATGCCAAATCCGGCCAAAACAGTACGGAACAACCGTGTTTCTTCAGGAAAGGCAGCAGACGTTTATTCAAACACTCTTTCACGTAAATTTCTTGGTTGACAGTCCCGGAAGCTATGAAAATGCTGCTTTTCAAGCCACAGGTACAGATGGCTTGCCAAACCAGATATTTCTTTGCGAACTTTGACAGTTTCATGTGCTTGAAAACATCTGCTACCTTTCCCCTTCCTTTTGCCGTATAAAACTCCTGTCCCGGAAGCTGCTTGTAGTCGGCTTTGACGTAGGTTTCGTCGTCCATTACCACGCAGTCAAACTTCGTCAGCATCGTCGTGTACAGCCTCCGGGATCGCGCTTTGGCCGTCGTATTTTGTTTATCATCGCGATTTGGAGTCACTACCTTCTTGTAAGTCGATAGTCCGGCTCGTTTTTTGGCTCGATGCACGGTTGTAGACGATACACCCAGCTTATTTGCGGCATCTCGGAGAGAGAGGTTAGGGTTTCGCTTGAAACTACCGGCAACTCTCTTTGTCGTCTCAGCGGCTTCCGGTTTTCGATTTTCCCCCGATCCAGATTTCCTGGCTGTCGACAAATGTTCCCCAAACACTTTAATTACATTTGTAACGGTTGATTTGGCAACTTTTAGCGATGTTGCCAACTTTGCCTGCGAGTAGCTCGGATTTTCGCGATGCGCGAGCAAAATTTTGATACGCTGCTCTTATTGCTTGGACGGCATTTTGACAACTGAAGAGTGAATTCCAAAATCAAAATAGGAGCAACATTCTACACACACACACCTTCAAAATGAGGGGTGTTCAGGTTTTTTAAATGCAAAATTGAAAGAAATACGTCAAGTTGATATTGACCAAATTTTGACCGTATCACCCTTTAGATGATGGAGGTGTCAGCTGGATACCACCACCCGGCAGGGGAGGAACGTCTGACGTGAAGATGTTGAATAGGATAGGCCCAAGCAGGCTACCCTGAGGGACCCCTGCATCAACGTTGAACGTATCAGAGGGGACATTGTTCAAGTAGACCTGGAATGATCTGCCCGACAAGTAGTTTTTGATGATCTTCACGAGGTAGATCGGAAAGTTGTATCGATGCAGCTTGTACACTAGACATTGTCGAACGCCTTCTTGACGTCCAACAATGCCATGGCAGATGTATCGGAAACGGACTTGTTCCGCTTGATGATGTTAGCCGTGCGAGTTGGTGGCTGGTAGAGCGGCCTTTCCTAAACCTGAATTGCTCTTTGAGAAAGATGTTATTATCATTTGAAAACACCAGCAGACGGCTGAGTATCAACTTTTCGAATAGCTTCGAGATGGAGGACAAGAGGCTGATGGGGCGATAGCTTTGGGCACTGGTAGGATCTTTGCCAGGCTTATGTATTGGAATCACTTTGGCTAGCTTCCAGCATGCAGAGAAGTAGCCAAGCTTCAAACATTTGTTGAAGATAACGGTAAGATGCTTGAAGAAGTCAATACTAAAGTTTGACTACATCATCCATACCCGCGGCCTTGTTGTTTTTAGTGCTTCTAATAGCTGGTATCACTTCATCAGCCGATATTCTACTATCATCATGCACTACTACGGGGGAGTCATATTTCAGAACCGAAGGACCAATTCAAAATAGTAGGTGATCTTAAACTTTTAGAAGAAAGTATCCTTAATTTGACGCAGAAATTTTCCAGATCAGTGCACTCGTGGCAGAGATGTTTAAATCTGAAAAAGTTGTTTTTTATATTATTCATAAGTGCAAAAAGGGTGAAATACTAAAATCCCTTTTTTCAAGTTTTCGCCGAAGAAATATTTTCAAACTTTCACAGTTTGTTTTTAACCCTATTGACTAACTTTTGATGAAGAAAGATCAGAGGCTAATGGAAGTTCGATAATATTCATGTTCCGATACCCCGTGCAGGGTATCTCAAAATTGATATGAAGGAAAAAAAAATTGAAACATGGTGAATAGATATTTATTTTTTTAAATCGTGGCTGGTGGTTGATCAGATGTTTATTGATTTATTGCTAAAGTTTTGGGCTTTATTGGAAGAGCCTGTATGAAGTTTAATTTATTTTAGTAAAACGCTCGATTTTCAACTTTTTACCTACACACTTAGAAATACCTAATCTTAAACGTGACGGAATCCATCTTTGACCTAAAGGATGAGACGTAAACAAACATGTCATGTAAAATTAAGTGCTCTGAGACTGAAAAGTTTGAAATTACGTTTGATTGAGTTGAATTTCGTGTCTATTATGACTCAATTTTATGTCAAAATTGACGCTCGTAGATGTCAGTCTCAGAGCACCTAAATTTACATTGATCTATCTAAGTGTGTGGCCTATCTTGACATCAGAATGCTTCCATCAAATTTTCACAGAAATATTATGTACGACGATTTAAACCACGATACTCTATATCAAATAGGCTGTAGTGTGAACGGGGTATAACATATTTCAACATTCAATGAGCACTGAATTTTCAAGTCACTTCTCGCCCTAAGTAATCCGTCCCCTTCCGTAGCTACTCAATCCAGGCTAATTAACATCCTACACTCAACAACAACTCAACCATTTTAATTGAAGCATACCGAATTTCATCGTCTCTCATGGGTATCACTTTCCTGACCAGCCAACTAGTTAATCTCTGTGGCATTTCCCGAACAAGAACCGGCCAGGGAATTCCAATGATTTACTCCATCCGAGTGGCAGCAGTACAGCTAATTACCAACGCGGCCTTGCAGACCTTCGCAGACCAAGGCCTATCGATGACAATATAAAAAAACAAAACTGTAAACACGGCCTCCGTTTGTGTCGATTTTCCCAGAATTTTGCATCTCCATTATCACTCGCACTGCGAATGTGTTTCGGCCGTTGGCGGAAAACTTGAAAAGCCTCCACCATCGCAGATCCCAGCAGAGTCGGAGCATTTCTGAAATGGTTTTCACATCCGCAATCTGCTGCTGCACTTTCCGCGTGCTACATGCAAGTGAATAAATAATTTTCGCTCGAAAAATACTTCCCAGGACGTGTTCCTTCTCGAAGTGGTCACCCATTTCTGGGGAATTATTCACAAATGTGATGTTGCCTTTGGTTTTGCGAGAACCAGCTGATAAGACGAGCGAGCGCGGAATGTGTAATAAATCATCCGGAATTTGAACAAGTGCATTAAGAGTGAGGGAAACATTTTCGACGACCGCTGGCTTTCTTATCGCCGGGGTGCAATCTTGCCGGTTGCCGTGTCTTGGCTTTGTGGTTTAATGAATTTCGTGGATGTTGGACCGGATCGTTGAACCCACTGCTGACGAGAAAGCCTATTGACGCGAAGCTGCGAATTGTTTTGCTAATTTTTCATAATTGGACGAGTTTTATGTCCCTCCAAGGGGCCCAAGCAGAATTTTCGATTTGGCAGACATTGCACGCGCACTTGCTAGCTGTTTGTCGATGATGAGCCGGTAATAATCGAGGGGTCGTCTCTTGGGATGCGCAGCATCGGAATCAGTTGTCAGTCCGCCGGGTTGGTGGGCGCAATAATCGTAAATTTAAATTTGTATAATTTCGTGCAATAAAACGGAAATAATTTCTGCCGGCACACCGACCAGTGATCAGAGCTGTACAATGAATGAAAAAAAAAAATAAAATAAGGGAAACGATTGAGGTGGTTTCGGGATGATGATGAGCTATTGGATGGCACCGGGCAAATATGGGTGAAAATATTATTGCCCGATGATGGCACGGTTGATGATGCGCCAAGTATACAGGAGAGAAAGATGCTTGTTGGTTTTTATGATTGTTGAATGTGGAGTTCTGCTGTGGTGGAGAAGAAAGGCGCCTGCAGAAGGTCACTGATGTGGGAACGTGATTTCTTC